ATTCCCCTCCCTCCTTCTTATTCCCCCCCCCTCTTTTTATTCCCCTCCCTCCTCCCTCTCTTCTTACCCCCTCCCCTGTAACGTGGCCGAGCTGCACTCCGGTCCGCGGTGGCCGGCCGGAGTGATAGGAAGGTGCACACTCAGTGTGCACTTCCTGTCAGTCCGGACGGTTACAGGAAACAGAAACTCCGCGCGGAACAGGAGTTTCTGTTTCGAAGTGCACACTGAGTGTGCACGTTCCTATCACTCCGGCCAGGCACCGCGGACCGGAGTGCAGCTCGGCCACGCTACAGGGGAAGGGAGGGGAGGGGAGAAGCTGCAGCCGCCTGACCGCTCTTCACAGAGCGCTCGGGCGGCTGCAGTATTTAAAGGGCCGGCCCCAGGAACGCGGCCGGCCCCCAGGTACCGCGGCCCACCGGGAAATTTCCCGGTATCCCGGTGGGCCAGTCCGGCCCTGATCTCTGATAACTTTTAAACTGAAATTATTAAAGGCTTATTTAAATAAAATGTTAAATACATTTACAGCTTTAAATGTGACCAAAAGATACTAAATGAAGTGTTAAGCAGCCAGCCCAATTCACTAGAATAGCATAAGTATTCTACTATTTACATAATGACTTTGCTTACTCAGGTACAGTATTTAGTCTATTGCAATGGCAGGATTAAAGTCCACCAATTTTAAAAAGGAAAGCTTACTTAAATCAGTGGTACTATCCCACCATACTAGCAGTAAGGAAATTAGAACAATTATATTGTACTACTGACTGTAATCAGATCAGACACATGTAATCTCAGTGAATTTCATAAACTAGGTTTTCATAAAATAAGATTAAATATCAAAGTTGTTTATATATCAATATATCAATGTTGTTTATAAATAAAAGTATATAGACTAGGCAATAACAGCATTTACATGCATTCAGCAGCCTGCTCTCTCAGAGCCAGAAACGGATTTATAAAAAAATAAAAAGTAGGTTTTAAAAAGTCCACCGTCAACCACACATGAAGGGTGAAATAATTGCTTCTTTAAAAGCTATATGCTGCTGCAATTATGTATATAAATACTGATCAGGGCACAGCGTAGAAATCAAAAATACAGTTTCAAATCTCATATATGGGGATTCAGTTCCACCACGTATTCTACAATTCTGAAAGAGTCTATTTTTAATAATATGTTGTAAGAGCATTGTGAAGATATATACTGCAAAATTAATGTGATATTGCAAAGCCTGCAATATTCTAAACAGACATTAAAATTTAAGAAAAAAAGAAAAATAATAATGCATAAAGAATAATGCATAAAAAAATGCAGTGTCAATTAAAGTGATAATACTCTGATATATTAAATCACATTGCATATCACATATCTGCTATATGAAAAGTATAATTAAAGTGACATTACTTTCCAATGCCCCCTCACATCTATTTTATAGAATCTATACTTTTCTGTGGTCAACGCCAAAGAAGCCTCTGAAATTGGGAATCTGATTCCAGACTTAAGAAAAATAAATAAATGATAGAAAAGGAATCACGGGAATATTCAGACCATGCATTTTTGTATATAATCTTAATTTGCAGATATTTTATGCCTTAAAGACATAATTAAATATTTAGACACAATTTAATTAAATATGCAGGTATCTTTAAAAATTAAGCAATGTTAAAAAATAAATAAAATTAATAATAATAAAAATATATATATATTTTTACCACAATATAAACAACCACATTATAAACAGCTTTGTTAAAAAGATTTAAGTACAAGTACTTATGACAAGAAATATACAAAATCCGTTTATAACAGGCAGGTTTAGCATAAATGCAAAGTTGTTGTTTTGGGAGATTTATTATTGCCCACGAAATCTCTGAACATATTCAGAATTTTTGAAAGCAGCAAGTAAGATGGCAGATTGCAATGGACACCATTACAATATTGCTTTGCCGATTGAGGTCATTTAGAGAAATAAATGTTCTATAGCTCGCTAGACCACTGGCTTTTAATGAACAGTTTGCACAACACTTATAAATAGTTTGTAATACTGCACATTATAGCTGTGACAACATAATACACATGGTAACAATGCTATTTCACTGTTTAATAGACTTACCCAGTATTTAAGGACGACATGTTTCTTGCAAAGTTATCGGGACTTTGAGGGAGGTTCTAACTATGTTTAATTAATTTACTAAAGAAGAAAAAAAAAGAAAAGATTTGGGGTTTTTTTCCCCTGCAAGTGAATTTTCAGCGCAA